ACGACGGCGACCAACGGGACATCCGAAATGGAGAAGTCAATCTTGCCCGATCGACCGCACACGTGGACGCGAACCAACAAGCGAATGGACAGGCACGCGGACACAGATAGGTGGACAGGGCTTGGTCGGATATCAATTGAAATTGAGCTACGTCAACTTCGGCACTCACTCCTTCACTGGACGATGGCATCACTGTTGACGCATCAGCAACAAAAAAAAACATCAGTGTCCGCGATAGTCATCGCGCTCCAATAATGCGTTCGACGCGGCGGGAAATGCGACCGTTATCGTCAATTACACGTAAACATAGTTAATCAGAACAGGCGTCGGAATTCGCGCCCCGGCAGCAGCAAGACATGAATTTGAGAGCTAGCGGCTGGGAGTCATTATTTTCGCGTCGCGAGCATTCGTATCACTCACTGGTGATTTGCCCACGATGCGCCATTATCGTGGTCTGGAAATTCGCTTTCCTTTTCCCTCGTGTAGCGTCATCCGGTGCTCGGCCGACAGGATACAGGATGGACACGGAATCAAAACATGATCAAGCAGTGATTACGATCTTGTCCAAGTCGTCGTGGACCATGTGAGCGCCGTTATGGAGAGATGCTCTCAAACCCGCGGCGATTACGAATCATCCCTGAAGCGTTTGCATTCGTAAGAGGAGCTCCCCGTCGAACCGCCATCAATTCCGACGGTCGAACGGAGTTCTATCGATAGAACATGAAGCGGAATTTACCAGCTAGAGAGACCTCGCAGGCTGTCGTTGTGTCTCATAAGTTTTCACAGATCCATCGGTCTTGCTTTTGGACTTCGGAACACGTCGTTGTGCGGATTCATGACGCATTGTTCCCTCTCGCTATCCGTAAGCCACCGCTACTCACTCCGTCCGGCCGAGCTTCCACCGATTTGCGATCCAGACGACGATGTTGACACCGGGGGCGGAAAATCCCGCTCGAGACCCTCTGTTAAAGCCCCCATGCGTTGCAGAGCTACCATGAAGCCTCTCTGGAGGAAGAGAGGATCGATTCCCGAGTCTTGACCCGCTGAGGCGGCCGTCCCTCACTCTGGATGGCCATTTATGCGACCGTTCCCGTGTGGGCCGCCGGCTGCGAACATCGTTGCTTGAGAGTTTGTTTTTGGCCTCCTGTGCGCCCTGGCCCGGTGTATAGCCTCGAAGGAGCTCATCTCGCGGCTCCTCGATCGGATCACGCGGCCCGCACTTTCGGCCCACTCTCTCGACAGCAAAGTTTTCCATTGTTTTCTATGTGTTAGCTGGTCGCAACAAACCCCGAAGTTCTGACCGGAGCGTCGAGCTCGTCGACTCGCTGACGACGATGGCGTTTCGGGGTATGAGCGAAAGGGAACTGCCACGCCCAGGATGCTTATGAGTGTGCTCTCTCGCCCCGCGACATTTCTGATGAGCTGGGTGCCCACCTGCCATTGTACCTTCGTCGATGAGCGCGTTTGCCTTCGCGGTAGACGGGCTGGCCGACGGACGGGCCCACCGAGCCACCGAAAGACAGACGGACGTATCGACAGACCGAGCGGCTGACTGCCTGATTGATTCCCACTCGCAAGATTGGCTCGAGGAACTAGCGGATGACAGCCCAGGAACAAGTTCCTCTCCAGTGCCATCCGCTGCATGCCACTCATGTTGACGTCGTAGCGGCAGCCGTTCGTTGACGAATTGACATCAACAAAGTCCTCTCCACGCAGCGTACGTTCGTACGTACGAGCGTACCCCCAACCCTACGTTGCCCCGTCCGCGCCCTCTTTCGGTCCCCTCTCGTACCTTATTCGTTCGGTCCCTACATTAGCCGTCTCTGTTGCTGCTCCCGTGGCAGTCCTTTACGGAGCGGCCGATTGCTTGAAAAATATCCGGCACTCTGAGCAATGCGTATTCGTGTACCGTTACATAGATTCATTTTGAGTTTCCGAACTTTGGGCAGGATCGGGGAATCACTGAAGTCGACCCCGCCGGATAAGAAAACCAGGAGTTGCTTTCCTAGAGGACAATACAGAGATATGCATTTATTATTCCATTGATGGTTTGATTGGTTCATCGATGTTCGTCGATCGCTCCTCCATAACTGATAACACATTCGCAGATATTACAATTGGAAACTTCACCGGTGGAAAATGGACGGGATCGACGGCGTCAAATGCAGGCAGAGTTTGATCATCGGGACAGGGGTCAGAGATTTCTGCTTTGGGAATTTTGTTCTGGGGATCCGTCTCAAAACTTACATTCGTGCTCTCTCGGCGTGTTCATCGCATGGACAGTTTTCGGCGGCGTCGACAACTTTGTACGGAATGACCAACTCCAATAAATACACTTCGTTTCCTTATTCCTTGCAAGTCAAGCGTATCTCTTGGTCGACGACGGGAGACGGCCGTCCAATACTATCAGCTCTCGGAGTGTCCGACGAAGAGACTGCTGGCGAGAGATCCGATCGTCTTCCAGTTCCAGAGGCAAGAGGGAATCTCGACATCAAATCATACCTTCAGATGCGAATCTCCGCAAGGGAAGGAGGAACGATGTGATCGAAACTGCAGGAAGGCGCCTCGAGATTTTTCTGAGAATTTCGGTTTGATTTCTTCACCGATACTCTACGAGGAGATGGGAGCTCTCAATCGGACGTGTTTGCCTCGGGGAGGAAGGTTGTGGATCGTTTCACGGAGCCATGCCAACTGATACTAAAGTGGGTAATACCTAATTATTAAATATTCTACTACTCTCTCCTCTACACACATTCTTCTCTTTCCTCGTCTCTCTCGGTCAGTTTCGCTTCAGACTGTGGCTCCTTCGTATAGTTTGTAAGCTTTTTTTTGATTCATGTCGTCTCGTTATGGAATCTTCGATCGTATTCTGCACTGCTCTCAATCGCTCGGATGTTTCCGCGTTGCTCTCTCCTATCGAATGTCCTCTCGATATCAATTCACAGAGGTGCTGAACTAAATATATACATACAAGTTTATACAAACAGCTCATAGGGTCGACTGGCGCGCCTGTCTGGTCCCTCGGTGGCGAGAGTATTTTTTTTCTTGATTTTGCATGACACGAGGTAATGGTATTCTGTCCGAGCCTCGTCTGCGGATCGTTTCTCGCCATCGTTGCCGTCCAGACACTTAGATTCGCTGCTGCTGTTTTGAACCACCGGATCCCTCGAAGTCGGTTGACGTCGAGTTGTCGTCGTCTACAAATACATTTTTCTCAAGAAAGGATTTCTCTGGCTGCCGCAGTTTTTCTCCTCTTGCTGCTTTGGGATGTTCTGGTTTTCGAGCTCTCTTCGGAATTGATTTCTGTCCCCGAGGGTTCATGTTCCGCTGAGCCACGATGTCTGATGGATGGAGACGAGTCTCTTCCTTCAAGTGGGATACTTTGGAGTTCGAATGCCTCGTTCCCAAACTCCAGAATTCAAGTCGCTGCTCAGTTCGCGTTGAAGTTTGGTTCAGAGGAGTAGTGGGATAAGCAAGCTTAAAGCTGAGATCTCGTTTTAGGGTTTTGCCGAAGGGCCGCTGTTTCATTCGTCCGGGAATTCGGTAGCTTTTCTATTTTCCTCGTCTGCTTCGGATCCTTCAGATTCAGAGCGTCTCCTAGGAACTTGAAGTCGCAATTTGTTCGTCTTGTGTCCCATCTAACGAGTGGTCGATGAATACAATTGAATGATGAAGTTGGATAGCCATTTGATTCAGAAGCCAAGCTACGGACAGCCAGTCCGGAATAATTACTTCCCGACGTAGAATCCGACGCCGTCGAATCGCTCTTCTTCACAGCTAGTCTCGCGGCTCGGTACGATGCGGCAGAGGTGCCGCTTCCAAATCAGATTCGACCGCTGCTCGCTGATGCATTTCATCGGGACAATGACAATGATCATTCTTTCGATATAAATGATCGTGATTTTCTTCTGTTGTACAGTTGAGGACGATGTCGCCGCTGTATGCCGGTTATCGAGGAGGTGGTGGGAGTTATTGTTGTCGTCGTCGTAGTAGTTTCAGTCAAAGTCCGTGGTACACGGTCTTGTTATTTATCTTAATAGCTTTCATCGTGATCACGATGGGCAATGGAAGTAGAAATAGTACAAGATTGGTTTCATTGTTGATCTATATCTCAGTCGGTAAATCTCAGTAACAACATACGATTTCGCCCCGCGCACGCACCGATCGGTTTCCTTGGAGCGTTCGCTGTTCGCATGTTGAGCTCAGCAGAATCACCGAGCGCGCGAGCGGGCTTCAATGCATCTCGATGTCGCTCTGGCTTCTATTCCACGTTCTGGTTTCCGCTCGTTATCTAGATGACTAGCTGCAACCCCGTTGAATGAGTGACGTTATTGAAATACCAGTTGCATCTTTCGTAGAAGTTCTCCACTGATGACTGGAGGCGTTGTTTTCTCATGGGCTTCGTTGAGGTTTTATTCTTTTGGTTTGTTTTGCTCATTCGTTGTTCAGAAACTTCGCTGGATCGGAAGCAGCAGCTTCAGTGAAAAACCGATGCGTCTGGCGTTGCTTGGGGCTCTCGAGATCATTGCCGCAGCGCTCCACCGAGACACGAGGACGCTGTTTCAGTGAAAGGCTTTGTACGTAGAGGCATCCTGGTCTGGCACTCGATTGTGGTAATAATTGTAGCAGTAGTAGTAGTAGTAGTTTTAGGAATAGTATCGAAGTGTAAAAGAAAATGCTCAGGGTAATTCTCATCGACTGAGGTCGATCAAGGAACTTGTGAGGGAGGAAATCGAGCGAACGAGTGTCCGGTGAGAGGAGGAAAATAAAAACTTCAACGATATGGGAGAGAAAAGTTTCTTTGGCAAGGAACATCTTCGGAACTGCTCTCATTTGTGGGAGATTTTGTTTCGAGAATGCACTATGAGAGTCGTCGAGTTGTCGAGGGAATGAGGAAGTGGTGGTAGGGGAGCGAAGAGTCTAAGGTAGAGGAAACGTGTGACGTAGGTTCGTGTCTAAATGCATTCAGGACCAGGGAGCCTGGAAGAGCGTTTCTCTGCTCAGACCACAGTGTGTCGCTTCATATGCAGCGAAAGATGGTCAGAGCGCGAGAAGGCTCTTTCACAGAGCCTGCATTGAAACGGCCTGTCTCCAGTGTGCTTGCGGTAATGCCGAGTGAGCTCGTCTGAGCGTGCAAACTTCCAGCCGCATCCCTTCCAGGTACACATGTAAGGTTTTTCACCCGTGTGCGTCCTCAGGTGCGCCTTCAGATGCGAACTCTTGGTGTACGTCTTGGCACAGCCCGGGTGCGAGCAGGTGTGGATGGTGATCTTTTTGCTTTTACTGCCACCGTTGCCTACGCCACCGCCGACCTGTGGGCCGACGACGACGCCGCTGTTGCCGTTGCTGGCGGCACTAGATAGAGCACCGTTTGGAAGCGGTTCTGAAACACTAGTTCGTCGCATTGGTCGACGGGACGATGCCGTGCGTTGTTTCAGTACGACCGATTGGCTTAGCATCGATGGACAGAATTGCGGTGTGCTCGATGTCATTACGGAACTCGTAGACGTACTGACCAGGAGATCAGCTGAGAGGTGAGGAGACGACGGGGGAGTCACCATTCGGGGGTACTGCAGGCCATTTTCGAGGGCGGCTGAATACGGACAGCCTACTTGCGTTTCGGGCGATGCAGGTGGAGAAATCTGTGTCGAAGTCGTCGTGGACGCACTCGACGGAAACCAGCTCGGGGCCGTCTGTTGGCTGTAGCCTCCGATCATGCCGGTGGAGGAGTACAGTTTGAAGTCTTCTACTTGACCACTTGTAGCAGCACTGTAGTATCCGTTCGGCGGGGAGGAAATGTACGTCTGGCCCACGACTTGGGGGACTACTTGGGGCGCAGCGTAGCTCGCCTGGGGATGGTAGAGGGCCTGTTCTTCTTTGGCTTTCTCGTAAAGGTTAGGCTCCGCTGCGTAGAGGGCTGAACTCTCGTGGGGAGCGTAGGACGACGTCGACGACGCCGGAGACAGTTGGCCCGTCGAGTCGGAGCACCGAAATACTCGACTGTCGGAAGCATTGGAAATTTGCGTGTGAGATGGAGCTAACTGTGAATGAGGGCTCGTAGGAGGACCGGAAGAGGCGTCGTCTTCATACCCAACAGCAGAAACCGCCGCTTGGACCGTTTGCGCTTGTTGTTGATGGTGGTGGTGGTGGTGATGATGATGATGATGGAGGTGTTGTTGCTGCTGCTGATGTTGTTGCTGCTGTTGCTGTTGTTGTTGCTGATGGCTGATCATATGGTGTCCATGATGGCTACTGTGGTTGTTGATGGCTGCGAGCGAAACTCGAACATCCGGATGAACGTCGTCCAGAAGAAACGATTCGATGTCCTGCCACATCTGAAAGAAAATCTTCAGTATTATTCCTCTGGACCAGCTCTGGAAAAAGCCTCCCCGGTCATCGTTCCTCTCCAGAGACCGATGCTGAGATCTCGTCGGAGCTAGGAGCCGGTTGCTCTGACAAATTGACCGGACTGATTGCTGGAGGAGAGAAACAATTGTCTGTCTCATCATCTCAGGTCATTAAGTAAACGGGCTCATTCGGGCTGTGCTTTGTCGTTTGCCTGGTTGTCCATCTATTCGACCGCCGATCTCTCGGTCGGTCAGTCCGTCCGTCCTTCCGCCTGCCCGCCCGCTCGCAGACCAGGATATAGGTATAGTTATTTAGAGAGCGCATCAGTCGCTCAGACAGTTGCTGAATGTCCTGACTTGTCCCGCCGGCCGCTATATCGCCAACCCACTGAACGAACGCACGAACGAGCGGACGGACAGGCAGGCAGGAGGCTGGCGGACAGCCAACAGCGGGATTTCGTGGCGTCCAGTCAGGAGAACAGACTCGAGCTCCGCAGCAGCGGGAGCGGCGGTCGGCGTTATGATTCAGAGGAAAGAGCCAGGAGTCAGAAAGCAAGTCAGAGTGAGCCCGCGAATCAGCCACACCCAACTAGCAAGGCAGTCCGGCAGCCACCAAGCAAGCAAGCAGTCAGTCAGCCAGCCAGCCGACAGCCGAGCAGTCTTTTAATTCTGTTGCTGAGTCCCCTTCTTTGTGCAGAGACGAACAAGCTTTATGGCGATCGAGGCAGATGGTTGCTTGCCTGCCTGCCTGTTCGTCGGCCTACTCGTTCGCCTGCCTGCCTGACTCGGTGCCTGCACCGAAAGCTAACTTGACTTGACTGACTGAGTGACTGGTTGCTGTTGTTGTTGTTGTGCTGTTCGCTTCAAATTGATATTTTTTACGTATGATTTTGCTGATGTCGCTTCTTCCACTCCAGAGATGTCTTCTCCTCTCTCTCTCTCACTCTCGCTCGTCATCCCCCTCAGAGCGGTCGGATTGGCGGGAACATGGACCGCCTGAATAATCGTACGGACTCACTCAGCGACAGGCCCATCGAGTTTTCAAAGGCTTCGGTCGAGAATTCAACAGCGACGTCGATACCAGCAGACACAACACCAGACTCCGACTTCAGGCGTGCAGCTGGCCGCATGTATCGCTCATATTGCTCAACTCAATCGACTTATGACCGAGTGAAGAAGCGGACGACCGACGACGCGTCCAGGAGCTCAATGTCTTGACCATTGTGACTGTTGAAGCGACCGCTTAGGATCGCTGAAGTCGAATTATTATCCCATCTATATCACTTCGTGGAGCCGACTTAGAGAGCGAGCGAGAAATGGGCATGAGCAATCAAGACGAGCGAGCGGTCTTCGGGAGTGAGGAACTACAATAGGAGCGTTTAGCCCCGACTCCTCGGGGGCCTGAAATCTACGCTCACGTCGGTCTGCTTCTCTTCGACTCGTACGGACGATCGATAGAAGCGACTGGAATCTGCGATCTCGGTCCGAGTGCTCAGGCTTCCGAAACGTGGATGAGCGGATAGGGCAAATCAAATGTCTCGTTGGCCATTGCTTAATTGCCCTTTGGTTTTGCAATCATGTGATCGGGGCCGTGGGGCAGTCTCGAGAGACACCCGAGCTTTTCTGATTGCGCTCCGACCCTCGGATCGTCCGTCTGACTTCTATCTTGAAGCCAGCTGAGATGTCACCCCAGAAGAGGTTCAGGTGGAGGTTCTTATGGTTTCTGTCCGTACATCCGCGTCGAAGCAGTGTGAAGACTCTCTTTGCTCGCCGCTAACAGAAGAAGAGGTTTAAACAAATAACAAGATAAAGAGACGATAGGTTCAAAGGTTGTCACCGGCCGGTTGTGAGAGCGGCAGGCTTCGGGCCAGCAGCCAGCCAGGTCGGATCACTTCGTTCATCCACTCTCAGAGGAGAAGTGGCGGCTGCGGCGGCGACGACGAAGGAACCAACGAAACGATGGACGAACAAAGTCTGAAGTGGTTTTTCGGTATTTTGCCAAAGCGACAAACTGACTGGGCCCTTGCGCTCATTCGCTGGCTGTCAGATAAACTGCTTATTTATAGGCTCACCATGTCAGTTCGCCATTGAACTCGACCAGCCACGGCGTTACGTGAAAGCTCCGCCAATATTTTCTTTCCCTCTTCTTGCCAGACATCCGATGCTGTCTGCTTTCTAGTCCGTTCCTCAGTTTCGGTGGCCGAAGGGTATGACTTCATTCACATATCGTCGGTTTCGGGAGCGGACGGAGCCAAACACCGATCCAGAAAAAGATCGTCTGAAACACCCGCGAATCCAGTCCGCAAGGCTGACTTTCTACGGCGAGCATAGGCAGAGCTTCGATTTTTTTACGATCTATAAGTGTCGGCTTTCGTAGAAGCAGATGTTGAAACGCTCGGCAGGCAACTGAAGGAGCACTGTCGCATCTGATTAACTGCATTCGATCCCAACGAATTAGGTTTCCAGCTCTCGCGAAGGAAAAGAGCAGCGACTCGTGGAAAATCGCCTTCCTGGCTAGGGGAACACCTCGTCTACGTTTAACAAGCAAATTGAGTTGGAGATATCGTCCACAGTTTGTTCGTTCGATGAGTTTATCAGAGGTGACGCTGTGTCAACGTCTACGAGACGAACACAGTTGTTCGGGCCTCCATCTTCTTCTCCCTTAGTTTTTTTTCTTAGTTTAATTCTTCTCTTGCCGCCGCTGCCGCCATTCTGGCTTCTCCTGATAGCGGATTGGTCTTCACGACCGAGTACAGAGACGCGTATCTTCGAACAACATTGAAACTCACTTCGGGACATCAAAAGATAGTCCTCGAACGAGCGCTCGTTCGACAGCAGACCTCGATGAATTTCTTATCGCAAGCACGAGTGACACATACACACAAGTCATCGGTCATCCAAAGGGTGTGACCGATTTCTCTTCTCTCGAGTGCTGCGCTGGCTTATCCCGAATGCGTCGAGACACATACGGCTACTATTATTTATGATGATGATGATGATACAACGGTGCATCGAACGTCACATCGAGCTAGAAAACACACACGGGGTCGAAAATCGCGGTGGCCATGTCGACAACGACGACGACCAGAGCTCGAGTCTGCGGCGGGATCTCGCGTAAGCGCCGTCACGCAGTTCGTGAGACGACCTTGAACCACTCTTTGTGATGTGTATTCCAACAGAGCTTATTTATCATAAAGTTTTCAAGATTCCCGACCCGTTTCGCAGCCGCCGTCGTCGTTCGCTCGAAAAAATGAAACAGGTGGGACCATCAGCGACAGTCTGCCTCGACTGATGGTTTGATATATGTATTGTGAAGAATGACCAACGATCTTGATATCCGACGACGTCCATCACTCGGGACGATTTTCGCTACGGAGACATTCAAAATATCTGTTACCGTTGCGTGCCTGCCTGACCGCCCGCCCGCCCGCCCCCGTAGCCGTTACTCAGTCTGCAGAACAAGAGCAGCCTGTTGCAGGAAACCAGCTAGCTTCCCTTGAAAACGACTCCGAGCGACTTGTCAACGGGACGGGCGCTACGTAGAGGTAAACCTGACCCACCACAAAGTCAATCTATGCAGATTCTGACGTTCGCCATCCGGGAGGTCTTTCAACCGACTTGAGTCAACAAACAGAACAGGTCGCCGCAGAAATACAAAAGTCCACATGTCTGTCGCTGCTCCGAGCGACAGCAAGTCGATCGGCCGGCCGGTCGGTCGGTCAGGTCCCAGGGAAAATCATCAGGGTCATCAGCGTATTAACAGTCATCGGATGCCCACTAGGTGCACCTCTTCTCGGAGGACAAAACGAGTCGTCCGTTAGTCGGCGTTCGGGGAATCGCGAAAATTATTGGTGTCTGCGTCATCCATAAAGTTCAGCCACTTAATTTCTAGCTTGGATCGCCAGTCCGGCTAATAGTTTGCAGTCGCATTCTTGGGTCATTACGGAATTATAGGAGCTGTCTCCAAAACCCAATTGTGTCCCAAAATCTCACGACGCCGACGGTCCGACCGCTGACCCATCCGACTGTTCGCTTATCGCTACGTGGGACAGCCTACGTGCGTCCGCGAGATCGTGCCGCTCCTCCGGGCAGAAATATCGACGTCAGCACTGACTTCCTCGGGGAGATATCCCCGTGATCGGAACCTCCGAGGAGCAAACCCCAGTGCGAGACCATGAGCTGGGAACCCCTCTCGAACTTCGGAAACGAGAACGGGAGCGAGTGAGGGCGATTCAGCAAAAGCTCCGGAGCCCATGGACTCCCGAATTCTTTGGACGAGCCCGGGAGCGGAAGGAAAAAAAGCGATATTCTATCTTTCCATTTTCCCTTTTTTCCGAATGGTTTCCTTTCTTCCGTGGAAACAGCATACAATGAGGTGTATAGATCCAGAGTCAGAGAATGGGATAGCCCCGCCCTTCTGAATGAGAGGATAATTCCCTTCGCACGTTTCTTTTGGAAGATTTTTTTCTCCATTTTTCGTGAGCACAATATCTCGCAGATAATGTCAGGACACCGGCCCAACAACGAGAGCTCAGACTCTCCGAAAGGAAAAGAAAGAAAAAGTTTGAGAAGCACCGTAACAGACCCACGAAAAGTAGTCCGAGTCGCCAAGGATGGTCGCCATCAATCTTTGTCGCATCGATTGGACTGTCGACTGACTGACAGACTGACGACGACTTCAACGTTTTCAGTTG